ATCCTATATCAAACACACACCCCCATTTGGCGATTCGGGGTATCCTATATCTTAAACACACCCCCTCATTTGGCGATTCCGGTTATCCTATGTCTTAAACACAACCCCTTCCATTTGGCGATTCCGGCTATCTTCTATCTTAACCACACCCCCTCGCTGGGTGATTCCGGTTATCCTATATCTTAAGCATGCCTAGTAGTACGAATAGTAGTAGTAGGAGTAGTAGTAGTAGTAGTAGTAGTAGTAGTAGTAGTAGTAGTAGTAGTAGTAGTAGTAGTAGTAGCAGTAGCAGTAGCAGCAGTAGCAGTAGTAGCAGTAGTAGCAGTAGTAGCAGTAGTAGTAGTAGTAGTAGTAGTAGTAGCAGTAGTAGCAGCAGTAGTAGTAGTAGTAGTAGTAGTAATTAGTAGCAAGCAAAAACAGAAGACACAAGCGAGCCCCAGAGAGAAGTTCTACGCGAACCCGAAAAAGAAGATGTGACCCTACGGCCGTCAGGGCTTATGGTGTCGAGTCCATTTGGCTCCAGTCAGGCACGCTGGTGTTTCCTGCCTCCTGCATCCAGGCACTCGTGTGATTCAGAGCACAACCAGCTCTCCATGATCTCCATGTCAGAAAGGAGTCCTGCTTCTGATCTGCAAGAGCTGACGGAGCTGCTTGTCCGGGAAGCTCTGCCTGTGCTTGGAACGGAAACAACTATATACTCTTCTGCCAGCATCTCCGAGAACCTTGGCAGCTTTGATCGAATCGCCTGCATCAGCCTGCACCGGCGGCTGGCCAAAAGCCTGCTGAAGAGGAGACTCTAAGTGTTCAAGCCTTGGGCGCATGGGTAGTCGCAGCTGCCTGAAAGAGCTGAAGCAGTCTGTGGTACACAAAAAACAAAAGGAAACTATGCTTTGTTGGCAGGGGCCTGGGGCGGATCCGGAGCGGGTGCAAATACCTGTCTGGATCTAGATTATCTAGCCAGGCAGCACACACCCAATGACCCAAACCAGGCGAGGCCCCAGCATCCCGTGTATCAGCATTCACCTCCATCCGAGCACTCTTGTCAGCCTTAACCAGTCCAGACAAGCTCGCCCCACGTGTCGGTGCACAGGCTGCCGAAAGGATACCACGAGACCGACCTCGGCATCGTCCTTCTTCGCCACCGATGCAGCAAGTGCCTCAAAGTCAGGCAAAGCTCTTTCCTGGCACCCAAATGCCCGAACCTTGTCAATGGAAAGCGGTTGTTCTAGAGCCTTCGCAAATGCTGCCAGCAAAACACAACGTAGATGACCAGTCCTGTGCCTGAAGCGGCACAGTCAGCTTTGCTTCTTCATCAGCATCGCGACAAAGGCCGTGAGTCATGTCAGCCGGATCCACGACCCTGCCGCCCCGGGGCAAGCGCAGGACGATCTTGAAGAGGTTTGGGGGTGACTTTCCGGCTGGTCGGTTGCTGGTTTGGTGGTGACTGTCCGGCTGGTCGGCTGGTTTGGTTGCTATGTCGTCGGCGGGCTCACACACAGAGCACTGAGCGTTCAGGGATGCAATCGCGATCAATCGAGGATTCCAGGCCCCGCCTGGTCCTGGTTTTCGGCCACAGCATCTGCAGCCGTTCTGTTGACAGCCGGCTCAGCGACCTAGGCAAAGGCAGCATTGCAAGACAACCAACGACCTGATGTTGTGTGAGAAACACAAGATCACACATGTGCTGCAGGGAAAGAGAGGCCTGCACCGGGATGGGCGCGACTGATGCATCACCATCCCCAGACAGAGCACCTGCCCACGAGTCAGCACGGACATGTCAGTGGAAAAGATGTGCAGGCATACCCAGACAAAGATGCAAGCAGCCAACAATGTTTGCACATGCGAAAGCCGTGGAAGTCAAGGTGAAACTCACTTGCTGATGTTGTGGGGCTGTGGATGCTGTGGGCTTTTCTTCTGTGCTGTGCTGTGCTGTGCTGTGCTGTGCTGTGCTGTGCTGTGCTGTGCTGTGTGGTGTCGTGTTGTGCTGTGATGAGATGGGCTGGGCTGTGCTATGCTGTGTTGTGCCCCCACACCCCTCTCAGTCGAAGCTCCCGTTGTGC